AACTTGGGCTTGAACATCTCTAAAGTAAAAACAAAAATATCAGGCATCCTTCAATTGGCTCCATAATTTCTTAATTTTAACGTAATCATTTAAAAAAATATATAAATTGTTTCAGAAATTTTTATGGTGATATCGAGGCAATTCCATAATCCTATTCCCTGAATTACAACGCAGCTCCTTCAGACTAGTTCTAAATGGAGGTTTTACAAACATTTCCATTCTCTTGTTGTTATAATGACTTTCTTTTTAAACACATTTTAATTGAATATTTGGGGCTAATATTTTTATGAGCTTTATACATGACTTGTAAAATACTATATTCAACCAAATCATACAATTTTAATAATTTTAACTGATGAAATAATAGATTTGTTGGGTGACCATAGCACTGCCTACTAATAATTCTTATAGTTATTTTTTTGGAAAATTTAAAATAGGGTTTGTAATTGTTTTGCATGCTTTTCCCCAAACTTCAATACAATAGATTAAATATGGAAAAGTCATTACATTATACAATATATACAAAGCTTTGTCACTCAAACTATTTTACTTTATACAGTAATGCAATGGAGTTTGATACTTTTATTCTTATGTAATTTACTAGATTTCCATATTAGCTTCTCATCAATAACGACACCCCAAAATTTTATTTCAATACTGTCGATTTTAAATGGGACTTCAATAATTTTATTTATATTACTAAATATCATGTAGTTTTGTTTTTTTTTCTAAATGTAATGTTAACTTATTAAGTTGGAAACAATGTTGTATTTTTACGAATTCTGCCTGTATCATAGCCTATAGCATTTACTCACTTGAAAATACTGTGACTTCCTTTGAGAAGATCCTGACATTTGACATTTGATGGAGCCACGAAAAAGGCCCCTTGTGTAAGTTTAGCTATGGATGAGTCCACTGACGTGTGTGACAATGCTCAGCTGTTAATGTTAGGTTTTATAATACAGACCAGAAAACATTCTGTGAAGATCTGCTAGATATCACTCCTCTTCAGACCAGAACAACAGAAGACGCCTACCTGGCCAATAATGGGATGTTAGAAAATAGAGGAATAGAGCCCAAAAAAGTGATCTCAGTCACCACAGATGGAGTTCCTGCTATGATAGGGAAAGAAAAGGGAGCTGTAACTAGACTGAAGAAGAACAATCCTGATATCCTAACTTACCACTGCATCATTCATCAGTCGGTCCTCTGTGCCTCCCTGTCGGATGAGCATGCCAAGGTGATGAATGCGATGATGAAAATGATAAATTTTCTTAGAGCATCCTCTTCCTACCAGCATCGCATGCTGAGGGAATTCCTTGGAGAAGTTGATGCCAGTGCTGATGATCTTTTGCTGCACAACAACGTGCGATGGCTCAGCAAAGGCAGGGTTTTAGCACGCTTCTGAGCCGTTAGGAGAGAAATGGCAACTTTTTTTGGTGGAGCTAAAAAGTCAGAAGGCCACACGGTTTTCTCAATTTCTAGAAAACGAGAAACGGCAGGACAACGTGGCCTTTTTGGTTGACATTACTTCACATCTAAATGAACTGAACTTGAGGCTACAGGGCAAGGACAATTCAATTTGTGAACTCATGACAGCTGTCTGCGCCTTTCAGAGGAAACTTGAGACGTTCAGGGAAGACCTGCTGGGAGACTGTGTCCACTTCCCTGCAGTGCAGGAACAGGTTCAGGGACAGCGATGTGTCTCACCATGTTCATCCAGAACCCATTTGTCATCACAGATGTCAGGAGCTTCTCAAAGGAAGTCACACAGCACTTCAAGTGGGTAAATGGGCATCTACAGATGCAGTTAATTAATCTCCAAGCAGATTTGGCCCTGAAGGAGCAGTTTGTCAGGACTGATCTTTCTACTTTCTGGCTTCAAATGGTTCCGGATTCAGCTTTTCCACATCTGAAGCAAGTAGTCTAGAAGATCTTGATCATGTTTGGCTCCACATACAACTGAGAGGCAGCTTCCTCCACAATGAACATTATAAAAACCAAATATCGTTCCAGGCTTACTAATGAGCACCTCCACACATGCACGAGAATGGCTCTGACTCCATTCAAGCCCAGGTTTAAACTTCTGGCAGAACGAGCAAGAGCTCACTTCTCTCACTGAGCGCTGAAGAAACAAGTGTTCAGTTATTAAATGTGTTCAGATTTAAATTCTTTCAACAGTGTGAGATGGTTGAGTCCATATGTGAAACATAAAAATGTAAATCAAACTTTTCCTCCATTTTTTTTTTTTTTT